GAGGCAGGGAGAGGGAGGGAGGGAGGGAGGGAGGGAGAGGGAGGGAGGGAGGGAAGAGGTTTAGGGGTTTTGGGAAGCTGTTCGGCCGTTCTCCTCAATCCGCCGGTGAAGCAGCTTGGCCGTGGTATCCTGTTGTTCTCCTGCTGGTCCTCGTGTCGACTGGTGCTGTCCTGGTGGTCTCGTGGTCCTGGTCCTCGCAGTCGTAGTGGTCGTGATGGTGTGGTCATGGTGGTCGTTGTTGCTTTGGTCGTCGTGATCTACATGGTCGTCGTGGTGCTCTATCACTCTTGGCATATTCAGTTGAAGGCTGCAGCCATGCAGCCAGCGCTGCAGAGAATGCCCGAGATAGACGGTTTAGTAAGTTTAGTATGTAGTCTCAGGTTCTGGTGTTTCAACTGTCTGATGAAAGGGGTGAGCTGTGATCCAGTTGAGAGATGTCCCAAAGTCATGAGACATGAACCGCCGATGCGTGTAGAGGACCCTCTACCTTCATGCTTAGCAATGTGGAACGGTGACATTGCAGAGAAAACCCTACACTGCAAAACCCACGAGACGCAAGCCAACCATGCCCCTTGGGGCCAATCCCTAAACCGACCATGAGCTGCCGAAGCTGTAGATACATGCTTGATTTAATCGCACACCTGGCCCGACGCAACTCGGCACAAGCAATACCCCTTGCGAAATGCAAGTCTTAAAGCATGAGCAGCGCTGACCTTTTTTGGTCTCACCCCTTCCACTGGGGACGCGGCTTATCTCACGTCGCGCTTTAACCTTTTCGAGGTACTAGAATCCGTATATAATCCCACAGACTAACCTTTAGTACCCCTAGGATACTGGACAAGCAAGGATAGCATACCCCTGGAACAGGGACTTCAAGTACTATTGGTTGCAGTTCCTGTAGGGGCACCTATCGATACAGACTATTTTAAGGGCCCTAAACCACAACCCAGGTAACCCTACACCCTAAACCCTAAAGCGGTACCAAAGTCTACGCTTGTGGGCATAGATCCTTAGCCATGTGAGAGGGAAAAAACCCTAAACCCTTATCCCCTAAACCCTCAACCGCAGCCTCCCATGCAGAAACTGGGTCGAGTTTGTCCCCAGGCGATCGAAACCGCCGATGATGGCATCTTCGAGGAGCTAGGCGGTGTAGTGTCTAGTGGGTTTGGGAGTTGGGGTTCAAAAGTTTAGAGTTTGGGAGTTGGGGTTAAAATTTTTGGGAGGAGTGGGGGTTTCAAAGTTTAGGGTTTGGAACTTAGGGGTTTGGGGGTTACGATATTCCAGTGCACAGCAGTACGAACGGAAGGTGGAAGGGGCGGCCGGCAAGACTGTTCCATGGAGAAGCAAGTTGTTCCTGCAAGGGTGGAAGTGGCGATAGTCAAGTTTCCGTCATGGCCCAAACTGACAAGTCATCATAGCAAGCAGAAGTATGCGTCATGAGTAAGCTAACCAATCGGACATCACAGCTGTGCTGCTTGTGATTCCAGTCGCGACGGCTATTGCGATCACTTCACGCTTCCATCACTGTCGGAATGGTCATGCGACAGCTGCAGGTCAAGTTTGTGGTCACTACTTGTTGCGACAGCTATCAACCGCGAGTACCATCAATGTTCGCAGCATGTGCAATTCTACACATATACAGAGGCATACATGTATACTCATGCATGTACGTACATGTACTATATTACAAAGTGCTTGTGATTGTCACTGTCTTTCAAGCTCATAAGAACTGTGCCTGCGTGCTGCATTACACTGTTTCAGTCGGATGACTTCTCCTACAGGGCTCCAGCTTCTTAGAAAAATAGGTTACTTGGGGTACACAATATGGATAGTAACCTGCTATTTAGGTAAGTGGAGCCCTAGGGCTAACGAGGCCCAAGGCCCCCACAACTCCGAAGCCACATGTCCCAAATCGTTCGAAACCCCTTCTCTACAGGCTGGCGGCCCATTGTGAACGTCTGGAGCAGCCCCGAAGAAGCCACGCCCCCAGCGGTAGCCATTCCGACTTTACGGATTGACATTTCGAGTTCAGGATTTTGGGATGTTGTTTCGAGTAGCCGCAGTCGACTTTGGGGCTTATAGGGGTCGTTGCGGCTAGTGTCATTGTTGGGTGGTGGTTGACGCAGCAACTTCCCTCGATCTCACTTTGGCGAGCTCGCACACGGTCCGGTAGGCTTCTGCTCATAGTTTATCTGTGTTCCGGGTACCAACAACAGGGATGCTCGATGCTAGGGTTGACCTGCTGGCATTCCCACATTCAGCCGTTCTTCTGGAAATTACACAGACTCAGAATCAGAACAAGCCTGTAGACAATCGACCACCAACTATCAAGCAGGCTCCAACGTGCGACTCTGAACAAACTCCTAGCAAATCATGCGCTGACAATCAGGACAAAACGGAGCTCACAAAAAACATAGTCCCAAGACAGACCACTCGACCTGATCTCTGAACCTTCAGAAGTGGGATTACAGCCGCCTTGTCGGGTTCAAGCTGGCTGCGTTTGCTGGTGCCGTAGGGCCCTAGGGAGTGACGATTTCTGGTTTTGCTGGGTGCGGAGTTTGTACCTTAAGTCCTTGTACGGTCTAGGGTTGCGAAGGCCTAGTGGCTCCCCAGCTCGGGTTACCAGGTAAGAGTGTTATGTCGTAATCATGATCGTCAGCATTGGTGACTTTACAGCAAACACTGCAGATTAGGTCGTCATTTACAGTGAACACTCATTGAGACCAATTCCAGCTTTCATTGACTCCAACCCTAAACAACCCTGTGTCACAATCCTTCTGTTCCGGCCTCTGCTTGAAAGTTAAGTAACCCCTACACACCCGCATCTCCTAAACTCTACGCCCCAATGCCCAAACCCAAGAGCCGCAACCCCTGAACTGAAATCTTAAATCCAGGAGCCCCAAGCTCCGAAAAATGTGTGCTGTTAACTCTAAGCCTTAAAGCCCTAAGCCCAACATCTCACCGTTTGTCAGCCATGGCCGTCGAGGACCTGAGCACGGATTTGCGCGCGCATTTGACCGACACCGTGGGACTAGACTTGAGGCACGACGCACTGTCGGAAAGGGAGGTGCTTTTTGCATCTATTCTGGGACTCATGAGGGCGCAGACCTTGTCCTCAACAGTTTTATGTCCGGTGATCCACCGCTTTCCCGAGCAGCTTTGCGGAAGCTGGTCTGCGACACCAGAAGGCCAGCGTGCAAAAGTATTTTTGGATGCCGGCGGCGATGCTATGGACCAAAATAAGATGTGGCAACTGATGCTATACACCTGGCTTGGGGCTGGAGGCGTCAGTGGGCTTCCGTGGAAGCATATGTTGGCAACCGATGGTCTGACCCACTACGAGCCCAGCTCAGATCAAGCGATGGCAGTGGTCAAGTTCGCAATGCTGTATACACAGTGCTGTGGTAATCACGTTCTGAAGTTCTTTGGAAGTGACGGTCGTGACAAAGGGCTACGGTTTAGTCAAGACAAGTTCTTAATGCTGAAGGCGTGGCATGCTTCGGTTCCAGCCCTGACTGCCGCATTCAACTTCAATACAGCAAGCTTCGTGTCAAAGATGCGTGGCATCGATGGCTTTGGAGAACTGGCCGTTAAAGAAGTCTTGAGTTACCTGGGTGTCTCCGGACATGAACGGTTTCGCACGATGGCGTTTCAATTCATACCCTTCGGTCCAGGGGCGAAGAATGGTGCATCTTTGTTCTTTGGATGCACACGGAAGCTTCTGCAGCTGGCGACAAACTTGCAGCCACACATCCAGGAGTATGTGGCGAAATGCTTTCCGACTGTTGAGCCTGGAGTTACTGTGGTCGATATAGAGATATTTCTTTGCTACGGTTATACATATTGCAAGATGGTACAACAGCTGCGGTCAGGCTCAGGGACTTACAAGGTGCCCGCTGGGTGGAGCCCGAGGGACCACAAGTCCATCACTCCGCGCTTTGATGGCGAACTCACGGCGCGTGAGGGAGTTCCGCACAGACATCTGCAGACACCGTGGCGTTTGGCGTCTTTGTGGGGCTTTCAATCCCTTGCAAAGCACTTCGGGCAGATTTCGGCGAAGCACGCAAAGAAGCGTCCCGCGAAAGCTCTGACAGGGACCTCGTGACCCAGTGCAGGATGCTTGACGGAGCTAGCGGACTGGAGTCTACCCCAGGTGTAAAACGGCTCAAGGTCACTGCGAGAGGTGTGTGTGTGTGTGTGTGCTTGATGCAGCTTGCGTTCCATGGGTTGGAAAGCTTGTGAACCCAACGCCGTAAACCCTAAACCCTACCACCTTGCAGGACCGGCCACGAAAAAAGGGCCGGACGGCCATGAATGGCACCGGCGCGGCCGCGTCCTCAGAGACTTTAGAGAACTTTAGAGTTCAGGCAGTTGAACATGAAGGCTCAAAGAGGTGATCGGGCCGATAGGGGTTCTTTTACAGTGGGTTTAGTAGTTGAAGGAAAGAGATTTGGATTGGTCCACAGTTGTGAACGAGAGCTTTATTTAGAAAGATTTTTAGGGTTTAGGATTCTTGCAGGTTCACGGAGCTTATATCCTTAGGGTTTGATTCAGGGTGTCCGGCGCTTGCCGGGCACTCAGATGGTACCAGTAGGAACAAGTTTGAAAGTTCAAATCGTGAGACTCACACTCGAGGCAAAACCAAGCAAGAGCCGTCTCCGAAGCCTCCAACAGATTGCAGTCGTCCTTAGAAAAGTCAGGGAGCTCGAGAATGTCACGGCAAACTTTGAACCCAAGCTCTGAAACCCAGCAAAACGTCGCCCCTCGAAACACTCCTGCCACCGGGCTGAGTACAGGGCTTAGGCTTGTTACGAGCATTTCGCTGTCGTCGTCGCAATAGCACTCGATTGGTTGCTGGTGCTGATACGGCATGTGCTGGTTTCTACACAGTTTATTTCAACATGAACAACAATATTATACCACGCAGTATTGTTGCATACTGTTGCTCTCCGTTATCACTCGTGTTATTGGGTTGCATTCCAAGGTTGCGTCATTGATGGCATTGGTTGAGCACTTGGGATGCTAGCTGCCAGCCCTGCAGGCCACGACATCCTGGAGCCCCAAATTCTTGCAGCTTTGAAAGAAACCCTATAGAATCCCATCAGAGTCCCTACAGAACGGTTTTTTTAGTCGGAATCACTATAGATTCCGATCAAAACCTGCAGAGAACCCAGCGGGGCAGCCCAAACTTTTTCGACCATATTCCCAAACGGTCCTACGTGTCTAAATGGGGGATACTTGCCCAAGCCATCATTGTCATTGTATTTTCGAAGTTGAAGCCCTCCTTTCTGCAATGTAGGTACCCTAAACCCTAAACCTTACTTGCATATTTGGGAAGCCCCAAGCCCCACACCCTACTTGTAGATACTTAGGACCCTTTTGAGAATTCGAGGCAAGCTCGGCCGCCGCGCCCCGGAATTCCGACCCGAGGCTACGGAGAGATGACAAGGAGCCGGGATTGGGAGTTCGGGGGTGTGGGGTTTGGGCTTCTGGGTTTGGGGATTTACGGTTAGGGACTTTGGGTTTAAGGTTAGAGTTTGCGGGGAGGGGGTTGAATGAACATGAAAAGGATGCCTTTCGGGGGTTGGGTTCATGTAAGATTTTAAGCTTTTGGGGTGGGGGTACAATCTTTTACGGTTTAGACGAGAAGGGTTAGCACAACCTCCAAAACCCTAAAACCAAATTGCATATAGCCTGCTCTCTGGTTGTTGATCTGACTCTAAACCCCGAACCCTTACAGCCTACACCATGAAACCATAAACCGTGCAGGATGTCAACACCTACTACCAAGCCTGGGATCAAGTCAACGTGGACCGGGCAGGGACTCCCGGCGTCACAAGCTTCTGCCCCTGGCGAAACCCAGCAGTCAGCAGCACCCCCTATACATTCGAAAAAGGAGGTTATGGCAGTTGCAGGTATGCAACAGGGATTGACGGTCGAAACCCCGAAGCCTTGGACAACAGGATTCCGGATCCTCAACATGGAACTTATTCCTTGATTTAAGGTTTAGGTTTAGGGATTTTTCAGGGATCCGGGCTACCTAGGTTTTCAATTCCGCTGGGCTTCCTCGGATATTTTATTTAGGATCCATAGCCTACATACTACCAAGTCTTCGCAGCTTTTGGCGTAGTTAGATCCCGCTTAGACCACAAACCAAGAGAGCCCCGAAAACCTGTAGGGAACGAATCTGCCCCAGGGCATGTGAGGGCGTTTCCATTATTTTTACGGTGTATACTTTCCTTCAGCAACGGCTACCCGGCTTTTTATACCTAGATCCTCTATCTACCCTTTATTATGCCCTAAAGAACCTTAATAACTTAAATACCTATAATTTGGAACCAGACCCCTGTTTGACGGTAATTAGCAGGAGGGTTGTAGCACCTTCTAAAGGAGCCGCATACAACCCGAAACCCCAAACCGCTTAAGTCCGAAGCTGTATAATATGAACCCTTATAACCCCTAAACCCCTTACGCCGTAAAGCCTTGTAATGGCCGACTAAGGCGTTGGTGGCGGAAGATGGCATGGACCCAAATGTCAGAATCCAAGCAATGCGGCCGTTCGGGTTTAGGGTAAGCTTAGGGTTGAGGCTTTGAGGTTTGGCGGTTTTCGGCTTGGGTGGTTTGGCGCTTTGGGGTTCGGGCTTGGGAGTTTTAGGGTGATGTTTAGGGTTGCGGTTGCAGAAGTCCTGCAGCAAAAAGGGTTTTGTAATTAGTTCGGGGTTTATGCTTTCCTTTCGGTCTAGGTTTGTTTCGCTTTCTGTTTTACCTTGATAGCCCAGCAACTCAGGATTTCAGCCAGGGTTGCTTAAACATTCGGGGCAGGAGGGTCATTCTGTTTCATGCTTCGGGGTTTGGGACTGTCGGCTCTACCTAAACCCCGAAGTTGCCGAAGAACTTACCTTTTTAGAGGTCTTATGTAAGGAACAGGAACTTAGACCAAGGAGCCTGAAAAACGTAGTTTATTTGGGGTCCAGGCAGGGTTTGGGACTTAATGAAAAGCCACAGGCCACTGGGCCTTGCTGTACACACTGGACTTTGGTCATCCGGCAGTGGTCTTGATGCATTCTACAGAGTTCACCTTCCGTGCTTTTCACGCTTATATCAGCGTCCACGCGGCGGGGACACTGTTCTGGGCTGGCAAAATCGGATCTTGAGTCGCAAGTTGGAGGCGGTGCTTTTGGTGGAAACTGAGGCTTGAGAGCGTAAACCGCAAAACTGAGGGCAGAGCTTGGGCGCTACGCATGCATGCAGGGTTCGGAGATCAAGATTCAGAGCCAAAGAAACCCTAAAGTTCACTAAAGCTTATAAGCCCTAGACCCTGAATGCCCGCTCGGGGCTGCTTCTACGCCCTTTAAACAGACCCTAATAAGCCCGGAAACCTAAACCCTACTAAACGAATGCGTCTGATAACATAACTGCGCCTCCGAATCTAGCTGAAATCCCTCAGGGCTCCTTATTATCAGCATAGTCTAAGATACCCCAGACGCCCCAGAACTATAGCCTAGAGTTTTAGGGTTTTGTAGAATAATTATACCCCAGAACCCTCGGGTCCCTGTAGTCCTAAACCGCCAAGGACCCTGAATCAAATCAAGGGTCATCCCGGGTTCGGCAGGTGGTCCCCGAGAACATCAGGCCACTAGCATGGAGCCCGGATTTAGGTTTAGTGTGTGTCTTAAGAAGGCTCCTCAGCACGTCGCTGTGTTTGGCCGCGGGTTTACAGTGTCAAGGGTCAGTGTCAGATATCAGGTAGTGTTTTGCGTGGTTTAACTCGCAATCGGCTGTCAATTGTATTGAATTTGTAAGCCCTAAACCCTTAACCCAGGTGCTTGAACGGTCCAGAGGTTTAGAAACCTTAGCCCATGGATCCAACCTCTTGCCACATTCGACAGTGACTACATGCATGTAGATTTTGCGCTCATGGCATGTTTGGGGGGTTTCCGAAAATAGGGGACCCTAATAGGATCCCTATGATAAGGACCCCAAAAGAGGGTACCCCTTATGTTCGGAAACCTTTATGCTGCCTCATCAACTCCGTTCTACAGAGGGTACCCCTTATGTTCGGAAACCTTTATGCTGCCTCATCAAACTCCGTTCTACCGCCTCTGACCTCCAGGTGGCAGCCCGAGCCAGAGATCAGAATTACCCCAAGATCTCTAAACAAACTCTCCTTGAAACCGTTCAGAACATGTCTGTAGATATATGATAGTTCATCACATGTGTATGTATCCCCCCACAAACATACTGTTATAGATAGATAGCTAGATAGAGAGATAGATTCCTCAGTGTTCGTCCAGTAATGCTTGACCTTACATAACTTCTACAGTCGTACCACAATAACACGTGAAAGGTCAGCTGTGGTTGGCACAGGAAACCCAGCAGTCAAAAAACGGATCACTGAAACTCCGAATCATATCCTAAATTAGTCATGTCCCTTTTTTGTGTAAGTCCTTTTTTGGGCTCACTGCATATAGATTTCAGATGTTAGGGGTCAAGAAAAGCCCTATACTGGCCCTATACCCGTTTGGGTAGAGCGGTTCGTGCTTGGAATTGTTTCCAAAGCTTCGGGTCGTGAGTGCTTCTAAGGCTGATTTCGGAGACCTGGACCGTCAGCTGGATGTGCGGCGCAGAGCTGTTCCCTAAATGGGTGGGCCCATGTGGGGCCATGTACATTGGTTTGCTAAGCGATGCTTTAAGCGACTTCATGAGGTGGGCTAAGCCTTCGTCAGTTTGGGGGAATCTTAAATTCTTAGGGCCTTTAGTTTGAGATTTCCCGCATTTCTTGGGGCTTCGTCCCTGGATGCTGTGGGCTGCATGTGCTCGATGATTCAGTGGAGTAGGGTTTTGGGGTTTCAGAAGTTTTTAAGGTTCCGGTCGCCTGGCTTGTGGTGTTTTGGGGGTTTAAGTTTAGGGGCTCGGTGATTGGAATGGTGCAGATGGGCCTCATACCAAATCTCAATGGATGTGGACCCATGCCATATACACCTCGAAAAACCCACGCAACCTCATGAATTTTACAGAGTTTTAGTACTTGACAGCTAAATTAAATAGCTTCGATGAACATTCGCCCGACTGACCACACAGAATGCAGGAGCCAACTGTTCAACT